AGCCATGGCGGAGGCTTGGGCTATGGCAGTTTGGTTTGCAGAAGCCGGGCAGGTCTGCCCGAGACAGGCCCTGCCCAGGGCCACGCCAACTCCCATCTTCTGTGCCCCCTCTTCAATATGTTATTGGCAGAGGTGCCGATTGGCTCAGCCCTGGCCTGGGGTGGGTCCAGCCTGAAGCTGGGGAAACTTCCAGCAGTTTCTCACAGGGGCTGGATCCTTGGTACTCCTTCCCCCACTCCCCTCCCAGTTACTAAACCCTTGGAGCTGGGGGTGGGGGTGAACCCTTAGCAGTCACTTACAGGAGCCACCACTGTAACCCCTCCCTTGCCACCAGCAGAGCTGGAGTCCAGGGAAACCTTTAGCTGCTACTTAACAGGAGCCATTACTGTAGCCCCTCCCTGCTACCAGAGAAACCCACCACACAAAACCATAACAAATTAGAAAACAAAGAAATAGAGGGTATAAGATTCCTGTCTAGAAATATATCAGGAGGAATAAACGCAGGAAAGAAAAAGAGCTATTCTAAGGACAAGACTGGCATAAGAATGCATGGATTTCTGTTGGAGGCTAATAAATTTAGACTGGAAGTTAGGAGACAGTTTCTAACCAGAGTACTGAGGTACTGTAAAAAAAAAACCAGTAGGAACAGTAGTAAGAAAAATAATTAGTTTCAAAATGGAGTTCAATGGTAATATTAAAGAAATTATATTACGTGGTTGTCTGAAATAACAGGGAACTGGATTAAAGAAATCTTTTCTACTTCTGTATTCTTAAGCGTGTCTGAAATCAAAACCAACCCCTGCCATTTTTGTAGCTATTCTTTCAAATAGTAATGGTAAAAGGTTTATTTTTACTGCAGACTTTGAATTTATTATGCAAAATACTCCCTGACTGCCTATTTTCCCTGAAGTTTTAAGATAATTTTTGGCCTAGTTTGCCTGAAGAGAAACTGAGGGCTAACATTCCAAAGTACGCTGTAATTATAAACACTTGTCCTTATTATTGTTCCAAAAACATTGTTAGACAATTAGAATTTGCTTTGCCAAGAAAAATAAGAATCCACTTGCCTAGTCCAGTAAAAAAGAAAATGGAACAATTCGGAGCAAACCCCTCACCATTTCCAAATTTGGCACAGCTTGCAGTTCAGTGGGAAATACAATACATAGCTATGCATCTCATTGGGTAAAGGATAGATGAATTAAAAAAGAAAATATCCAGCTGGAAACAGCCTTAAATATAAACCAACCTGAAAAATACCAATTAAATATAAAGCATCAGCTGTAAGAACTATACTATGTCAAAATACAACTGTAGATTCTATGCTATTGACTTTAAAAAGCTATTGCATCTAATTAAATAGAAATGCAACATTCCAAATTTAATAGTTATTAAGAAAAATCTTACCTCCATCTTTCTATCACTCCCACTTCTCTCTGGAAGGGGATAATGTTCTTCTAGGAATTTACACAGAGCATCCAGGAGGTCTTCCTTATATTCCTTTAGTTTCGACAATTCATTGTTCAGGTAAAGAAATTCTCTAGTAGCCAAACTAATTCTAAAACATAGCAATAGAATATGAGAGTCAATAAAATAATCACCAAGTTCTTCTTACATAAAAAATTTCCGTATTTTCTATTGTTGTAAGTTCAACATATTTTCAGGATATAAACAGAAGGTACCAATATTTTCCATGTTTCAAATAGTGGTTACTGAGTTATTATTTGATCTATTGACCAAAACAAGGAGTATGACTTAAGAATTTATTTACTTATTTGCTCTTGTTGATTTTTAAGTTCTTCAATATAAAAACTCAGCACTGTAGAAATACCTTTGTTTGTAAAGTTGTTCAGCTTGGGTTTTTGTCTCTTCTTCAATTCTAGAAAGAACATCTAGTATTTGCTCCTGTTCATCATGCCACTGCTTTTCTCTTTGAAACATGAAAAGGAGGAAATGGCACAAGAGATGATTAGTTTTCCTGGACAGTAAAAAAAAAAAAAAGTGTGGTAAAAAAGCTTACAGCATTCCTAAATCTAAATTATTGTATTACCTTTTCAGATCTTCTTCCAGTTTTTTATTCTTTGCCTGAACTGCTGACAGCACCATTTGAAGGTAATTGTGTACTTTCTGCAACTACAAAAAAGTAAAAATAAACCTACAATTTGCAGATAGCCCAGTCTTTAGTATCTGTTCTATGCAAGGCTACATCCATAAATCTGGTAAAGAGGGCCAAAATCATCTGTAATTTCTTAAGAAATATGGCTACAGAGCGGCACATACTATTTTTAAATCCAGCTGGGGCTATTTAAAATGTTACTGTCACCAGTCTTATTGAAGCTCTGTAAAACAACATAGTTGATTTTACCTGAAGTAGATCATGGAGCACACATAGGAACTGCTCATCTGATGAAAGACAGAGGAGAAAACATCCACAGCACCATGGCTGCATTGTCCAAATCATTGCAGCTTTTTGCAACAATGAATCTGTGCTAATTACACCAACATAAGATGCATACCACTCAGAAAACAAAGATGCTGCAAAGAAAGACTAATTGCATCCATGAATTAAATGGTCTTCAGTGACATGGACATATGTGGAAGAGGAAAGTGGGAGAAATAAAACTACTGCAGCCAGAAGCTGTATACACTTCTGAAGACAGGGAACAGTGGACTCAGTCTTTCATTAGTGCATTATGTTCTACAAAGCAGTTTTTCTAATAGTTCACGGGTTTTTTAAAATATAAACCTAGGATTTGGATGTATTTTGTTTCCTTCCATACAAACTATGAGAGCTTTTATATTTAGCTCAAAGAAATAAAAATTGTGAAAATATCCTACAGAAGCCTCTGTGCTTTATATATGAAACATCTGAAAAAAACTGGAATTTTCAATAAAATAGGCCACAAATTCAGATATTGGCTCAAACGTGCCATAGCAATACAGTCGAATGAAAGTGTGTAACCAAACAATTTGTTAATAGTGACTCTTAACAGCAGCTGAGTTCCCTGTTTTAAGGGACACTAAAGGGAGGAAAGCTGCTAGGAAGAAGAAAACAAAAAAGTTTATTTTTTTAACCATAGCCATAGGAATATTCTCAGGTCATCTTGCATACCAATGTCCAATCAATATAGTGTAATGGTAGCCCTAACACATTCTTGACTTGCTCTTTCTTCCAAGGCTGGAAGAACACAACAAAATATTTGCAAACTCTAGATCTAAGAATACTGACTCTTCAGCGTAACATCGTAACATAAAATGTTACACGATTTTATATCAAGCATGAAATGCAGTATATAAAAAACTTTTTGTTTAAAAGATCATTCATTACAACTAGGAAATTTTAGTAGTTAGAGTGGAAGATAAACATTAGGACAAAAACAATGCCTGAAGAAACATACACTGTCTTAGCAGCAGTCCATCACAAGAGCAGTCATAGCAAAATGCAGCAATTGCATTTAGTCTTTTTCAACCAAATGTTATTATCTCTTAACAAACAAAAAGACTTACCTCTTCTTTTCCTAATTCTAACAGTACATCTGGATCCGTAGAAATCACTGAAAAATAAAATGAATTGGGTTTTTTTTGCATTGGATGATGTAGACTTTTTATACTGAAAAGCAGCCTGACTAGAGAGCAATTTGTATAGTCTCTAAAAAAAACAGCTTGGCTGTTAGCAGCAGTTTAGCAACATTTTGTATTGTCCTGCTGGGCTAACCTACTGTCAAGTTTCAGCAAATTAAATTAGACTGAAAACATTGCAGTGTTAATGCTCCTGTGTTATTTTTTTATACCTGAACTAGCTTAGGCCCATAATATTGAAATGTGAAGTACAATCATACTTGAAGATAAGCAAGCCTGATTTTTTCAGTGAAAGAATTCCAACAACATTACCAATATAGGCAATCAAATACTTCCAGTCTTCCAATTCCTTGTTAAACAGCCTCCCAAATGCTTGATCAGCATTTTAAAACCTATCGGATTTGAAGAACTTAAAAAGCATGTCACCATCCTTACTGTTCACAAGAGCAGCTACATGTAGGGAGAAGAAGGCCCAACAAGGCCAATATCCTAACTCCAATCCTAAGCAACAGCAGTACTTAAGGGAAAGTATGGTACTATTCAAGGATGTGGTAATGTTTCCCCAGAATGCTTCTGCAAAATGCAGTGATTTATGGCTCATGGATTTTCTGAATAAAAAAACTGAATTGTTGTATTCATTAGCCTTCAGTGGACTCAGTTCCATGTCAACTTGCAGCATCCGCATAAATGTATGACTTTTTAAAAAGCAAAGCATTTGAATCTTTCTATTAACAGGAGAAATAAAAGCTACTCGAACACATTTAAATCTTACTATGACGGGGATATTTTTTGTGCAAGCTTGGGCTCCAAATCGCCATTCTTAACAAACATAATTACTTCAATAAAAGCTTTTCCTTTAACAAAAAGGAAAACCCTTAACCCTCTGATAAAACCATTAAATGTCCTAATACAATACAGTTGATTTCATACATTCATAAAAGTACAGTTTTGGTATTTTTATCTCCACAAATTTTGAGAAGGCTCAGATTAGTAGTTTCAAAAGTAGTGTTTGTTCTGAGGTGAAAATCAGGAGATTGGTGAATGTCCCAGAGGACTGGAAGAAGGCTAACGTCACCCCTATCTACAAGAAGGGCTTAAAGGAGGATCCAGGAAATTATAGGCCCATCAGTCTTACTTCAGTCTCTGGGTAAGTTATGGAATGAATCCTCCTAGAGGCTATCACAAATAAAGCACATGATTGAGAAAAGCCAGCACAGATTCAACAAGGGCAAACTGTGCTTGACAAACCTGATCACCTTCTACAAACAAAGTAACCTGCTTGGTTGATGTGGGTTGAGCAGTAGACTCTGTCTATCTGGTTTTCTCCAAGGCTTTCAATGGGGTTTCCCACAGCCTTCTCCTAGAGAAACTGATGCGTTATGGTCTAGACAAGTGGTCTGTACAGTGGGTTGGGAACTGGCTAACAGGCCACACCCAGAACGTGGTGGTCAGTAGCTCCTTTCCAAACTGGCAGCCTGTCACAAGCAGGGTCCCCCAGGCATCAATACTGGGCTCAACGCTGTTGAATATCTTCATAAGTCATCTGGATGATGGGATCAAGTGTACCCTGATGAAGTTTGCTGACGATACCAAACTGAGTGGGGAAGTGGACATTTTGGAAGAAAGAGCCACCCTGTAGGAAGACCTGGATAGGCTGGAAGAGTGGGCTAACAAGAACCTTATGAAGTCCAACAAGGACAAGTGTAAGGTCTTGCACCTGAGAAAACATAATCCACGAGTGCAGCACAGGCTGGGAACTACCTGGCTGTGGAGCAGCTCTGAAGAAAGGGACCTGGGGGTCCTGGTGGACAAGCTCAGTATGAGTGAAGTGTGTGCTGCTGTGGCAAAGAAAGACACCAGGATGCTGGGTTGCATCAACAAGGGCATTGCCAGCAGAGATAAAGTTGTCATTATCTTACTCTATTCAGCACTTGTCAGGCTGAATACTTGTTACCTGGAACACTGTGTTCAGTGTCCATCCCTGCTGTGCAAAAAAGATGTGACAGGCTGGAGAGGGTCCAGAGAAGGGCCACAAAGGTGACAAAAGGACTGGAAAGCCTGCCATATGAGGACAGGCCAAGAGAACTGGGTTTGTTCAGCCTTGAGAGACGAGGGCTTAGAGCAGACCTTATCACCATGATCCAGTATTTAAAGGGTGGCTACAAAGATGGAGACTCCCTTTTTTCAAGGAATCACATGGTAAAGAGGAGGGGTAGTGGATACAAGTTACTCCTGAGGTGATTCTGATTGGATACAAGAGGAAAATTTTTCACAATGAGAAAAATCAGCCATTGGAACAATCTTCCCAGGGAAGGGGGGGGATTTCCCAACATCAGAAACTTAACATTTGGCTGGACCACGTACTGGGCCCTTGTGTTGCCTTTTGGCTAGGACAGAGTTAATTTTCTTCATTGTAGCTAGTATAGGGCTAACTTTTGGATTTCTGCTGGCAACAGTGTTGATAACATAGGGATGTTTTTATTATTGCTGAGCGGTGCTTACACAGAGTCAAGGACTTTTCTGCTCCTCACACCACCCCACCAGCAAGTAGCCTGGGAGTGTGCAAGAAGCTGAGAGGGGATGAAGCCAGGACAGCTGACCCCAGCTGCCCAGAGGGATATTCCATGCCATATGATGTCATGAAAGGGAAGATGTTCAGAGTTGTGGTGTTTCTCTTCCCAGGTAATCGTTGTGTGTGATGGAGCCCTGCTTTCCTGGAGATGGCTGAACGCCTGCCTGCCAATGGGAAGTAGTGAATGCATTCCTTGTTTTGCCTTGCATGTGCACACAGCTTTTGCTTTATTTATTAAACTATGTTTATCTCAACCCCTGAGTTTTCTCACTTTTACTCTTCTGATTCTCCCACCCATGCCACTGGGGGCAACTGAGCAAGTGGCTGGGTGGTGCTCAGCTGATGGCTAGGGTTAAACCACAACAGCCATTTTGTCTACACTGTGCTTTTGTCAAGAAAGGTTAGACCAGATGATCCTTGAGGCCCCTTCCAAGCTGGTGTTCTAAGCTTCTATGAAAACTACTGAATTCAAAATGCATTAAATTCCATCACAATAAAATCCCTTTTACTTAAATTACTGTCTCTAAACCATGACATAAAATTTGAGTAGAATGCTTACAAATTAAGTTTCTATTTAAGAGCTGCGGGAGGCAGCAGTCTGTGCTATTATTAGAGCAAGATTTCCCTAATGACATGAATATCCTTCATACACATCATAAAATTCACTGTGGCGCTTTTATTCACATTCACTGGCACGTTTGAAGAAACCCATACAACTCTTGCTCCCGCCACAAATCATGTGCATTCCCCCCCCGCCCCGATTATTGTCAGTCCTCACTATCAATTTCTACTATTGATTTCTAACACTTCATTTTTAGACACCTAATCCTGCATATGTTCTTCCCATTCACTATTCATATTGTGTATCAGAATAGAAGGCCACATCCTCCTAGGAAAGAAGTTACTGACCCAAATTTAGTGAAGGAACAGTGCAGATCTAAGACAGAGACAACACATTTGTGGCAGCTGCTACTGTAAAAAATACAGGTTGCTCTATCTACTACCAGTTAAAGCTTTTTCAGTTATAAATCACTACATTTGCAAAAATCAAATGTCAAATAAATTGCCTAGTGATACATAGTACAATTACGAAGCAAAATACTAACAGATGTTAGGAATGTAAAAGCAAGTACTATGCACAAGTTTATACAGAAACTCCTATTAAAACAAGAGTAGTTTAGCAGAATATCAATATTTTACAAAGAAAAACAGAAATTAGGCAGAGACCAAAACTGTTTTATATGGTTTAAAATATGGTTGCTTCCACCTTCTTATTTTGCAAAGGTAAAAGTTAAATTCTATTTTTATGAGCCAAATGCTTGTTAAAAAGTTTTAATTCAGCTGATTTAGCAGCTCTAGAGCTATGTAAATAGTACCAGAAATTGAGAAAGAACAAGAGACAGAAGTAAAAGCTTTGCAAAAATAAAATCTGTGTTGTGGATTCAAGTCTCTTTGCCAATATTGTGCCCAAAGAAATGCAGACCTGCCAATTTATAACCTGTGAAAATAAGGTTTAAAATTGAAATGCTGACAGGCCCTCATTTACAAGAAATGAGCTGGTCATTACTAAAAGCAGAAACCAAAGTAACAAGACAGCCTGATATTCACGCTCTATCAGTAAATTGTATAAAATGAGTATTTCTGCTATTCCTATTTAGATCAATTCAGACAATGTATTCAATTAAGTAATTCCTCCTTCAAAACAAAGAGCAGGTAGAAAGGAACGAAGACAGAGAGAAGATGTAACCACAGTAGACTCTTCATTTTCATACAAGCCCTGTAACTCTCTTCAAATTCTTAGCAGCAACTTCTTCTTTCTTCCGTCAGAAAGGTAGACAAAAAGGCAAAGCTTTGGCTGCAAAACACCATTTGCATTATAATATGCATAGATCATTTATCTAGTATGAAATGAAGATTTCCAATAATAAATTTTATCACTTGGGAACAAGTAAGAATGGTTGAACAAAGCAAGTCAGCAAGCCAAAAAAAATAGTTCAAGCCCCAATAATATTTTTAAGCAAATAGCTTGAAGTTTAAACTAATTACGTATTTTAGTAAGGAAACCTTACATCTCCAGGTTTTTTACCCAGACAAAAAAAATGGAAGTGCTTTCAATTCATTTGCTTTAAGCCAGCAACTTATTCATGAGCAGCAGCCAAGAACCTGTATTTCCCAAATTCATTCAATGTCATGCTTTTGGTCTACATACCTCTAAGAAGCATTTGAGGTTGAGACAGGCTTACAAAGCACATGAAGTCTGAATTTATTCTAATAGAGCAACAATATCTATTTATAAGAAAGAATACATTTTTTTAGCCCCTATTACTTGATCACAATATACAGCAAGTACAACAACTTTGAAAGAAGCTGGACAAGTTACTTTAATGTTCATCTGAAAATGCGCTGCAATTTGGCCAAATGATAAAATATTGGAAATCACCATTTGTTATCTAAAACACATTCCTATAATTTTGTAAACACCAAAAAACCCCAAGCTTCCTCTAGCATAAAAATATTAAAATGAGTCAATGTATTCATTTAAAGATTAACTAATAAGTTTCACTGGGTTGAAAGGTGCTAATGGATCCTTGACAGGAGAGATAACAGTGAGTGCTACCAGAATACTAATGATAGCATAGTGTAAGCTGCTTTAGGAGTCTCAAAATGGGACATCTGAAAAAACAGATTACTCACAATTAGATTCTGGATGGTTTTATTTTCAGTGTCTGGCCACATCAGCTTTCCAACAGAGTTAAATCAGTCTGCACTGATGCTTATGTACAAAAATAATTTTGAAGAACTGAGGAATTTACACCTTTTGACTGATAATGCCTCACAATTATAAGAGAGACATGTGTTTCAGTGGTTTGTGATTCTCAGGATCAATAAGCGATCTGGATTCCTGTGTTGTTAAAAAAACCTGAAGTGTCTTTTACTACCTTACTACCTTTTCTTGACCTGAAATCTCCTACACCTGTTAAATCCAAGCTAGATACTTTATTACAGTGTAATGGGCTTACCACTAAAGGTTTGCTTCAAAGTTTCAGATAGTACATAGTATTACAACACAATTTCGTGAAACAGTAATAAAAAAAAGAGGACGTATGGTTAAAAATATGTCTGGGTAAATTATTATTAGTTTATTAGCAATACTTGCAAATACAAAAACACACATCAACTTCTTAAAAGACAAAATGAACACATTCTTTGCCAAAGTAGTTCTGTGCTAAAAAGGAAATATAGATTAAATATGGTGTCCTGGGTTCGGCTGGGATAGGGTTAATTTTCACAAGAAGCTGGGAGAAGGGCACAGCCAGAGCCGCTGACAGGGGTAGTAGGTAGTTTCAGCTTGGAAATGACTGAGCATGGGTTCCGGGTGGTGAGCAACTGTCTTGTGTATCATGAGATATCCATATAGATAAACAGATATCTATCTATGTGAACCCAGGACAGATGGAGAAGAAATGATCACAGAAAGGAGAAGCCTGAAGGAGAGTAACAGCATAATGAACTTCTGTTATTTTGTTAGGAGATTTGCTAACAGTTATTTTTCCATTTAACTGACTGATGAATGGTAGTATGAATCATGCACTTATTTGTCCAGAATAATAAGATCGAGTTATAGTAGAACTCACTTTGCATGCTAAGTTCATTTAGAACTGAAGTGTAAAAAGAATATAGAAACTAAACATAGATGCTGTGGGAAGTATTTATTGTAGTTTTTGTACAAAAATACTATCAGCAGACATTCAATATATACATAGGTTAAGATGCTTAGATAAAGAGACTTTGCAAAAGTTTATGTTAGCATACTTTACATGGAAGCAGTTACTTACCTTCAGGACTTTTTTGCCATTGTTTACATTCCACTGCTAAAGCTTTCATTCGTGTCACTAAGAAGTGAAGCTGTATAATAAGAAAAGAAGCATCTCTTGAAGTGTGTTGAGTTGCATTGGAGTAAATGAGATAGAACGGGATAGAAATTCAGTTATTAATTTATACAGCAGAAAACAGAGGAATATCTATTATAATAGAGCCCTTATTCCTTCAAAAGATTTAAAAAGCTACTTGCAGGGATCAAGAAACATTTTTATTCTTTTTTTAAAAGGGGGAAGTCAGAAGTAGTCAGAGTTGGTATTTCCCCCCTAATTTCCTCTGTGGTATCAGATAATGACCACAACTGAAGATGAGCCATTAGAACCCATGACAATACTTCACATTCCCACTCCTCCTTAGATTCGTGGTTGATACACATTTCAAGTTAAATGGACTGCGCTTGATATGTGCTATGACTAAACAAAAGACTGGCTTCCAAAAAAGCAGTAGATAAATACACCTTCTATCAAAACCTTAACTGAGGACTCAACAAAAAATGCTTTATAATTACTGCTCAAGCTTACTGTAATCACTAAAAATATAGGAGCAATAAGAAAAAACACCAGTTCAGAAAAGCTTAATGAAAACCTGCAAACTAAACAACCACAGATTTTTTAAAAATGAACTTACTTTAATATCTTACTATGTTCTGGAGAAAGAATATATTCATTATTAGTATTCCACTTCCTGAAACTGAGGACTAAACCTATTATCTTTCTTCAAACACATTGTAAATTACATATAGACAAAATATTACAAGTAATCGATAATAAATCAAGCATATAGAATAGAATAGAATCATTAAGGTTGGAAAAGACCTCAAGGATCATCAAGTCCAACCCACCACCACCTAACTCACTAAACCATGTCCCTAAGCACCATATCTACACGTTTCTTGAACACCTCCAGGGATGGTGACTCCACCACTTCCCTGGGCAGCCTGTTCCAATGCCTGATCTCTCTTTGAGTGAAGAAATTTTTTCTAATATCTAGCCTAAACCTCAACTGGTGCAACTTGAGGACATACATTTAATTACAAAAGGTACTGCTGATATGCTCAAGCATTCCATAGAAAGCACTGAAGACTGCATTTGGCTTTTCATCAACTAAAAAGAAAATATGCTAAGACTCACCAGCCAAGTTCTTATAATAAAAATACAAAGAATTGACAACTTAAGTTTAGAGTTTCACCACTCAAAAGAACTTTATAAAACGCATCTTCTAAAGACAACCTTCTAAAAATACAGGAAAATAAAACAAATCCAAAACAAAAGAAATAATCACCATCCAAACATTTCTCATTTTCTAGATCAGGTGGTGCCACCTCTTTTGTAATAGAGGACTATTTGTGACAATACCATCAGCTCATTCTTTATTCCTTTATACTTGAGAAAAAAGGCTGTACAAAATGTTCTGGATACTTCAGTAACTGGACAAAAAACTCTGAAATAAACTAACACTGCTGTTCAGCAACCTTAAATCAAGGACCGTCTTTTTAACAGTCAAATACATACAGCAAGTATGTACATCAGATGTCGCTCTCTCATGCTCTGTATACATTCCTAGCAAAATATTCTGCTCAATAAGTAATGCATTAGCTCATAGACCAGAATCAGCCCCCAAACTTACAGGATCAAACCACAGAGAGTAAATTGCAAGATTACAGTCTTGAGGTGATTAAGGAATGAAACATTAGTGACAAGGTCAACAGCAAGGAAAAAAACATAGCTTCTTTGCCAGCTACAATGAAAGCAGAATAGAATAGGTCCAATTGGAAGGGACCTACAAGAATCATCTAGTCCAACCACCTGACCAATTCAGGGCTGAAAAAAAATAGTTAAAGCATGTTATTGAGAGGATTGTTCAAATGCCTCTTCAACACTGACAGGTTTGGGGTATCCACCACCTCTCTAGGAAGCCTGTTCCAGTGTTTGACCACCCTCTCGGTAAAGAAATGTTTCCTAATGTGAAGTCTTAACCTCCCCTGGCACAGCTTTGAACCATTCCCATGTGTCCTATCACTGGATACCAAGGAGAAAAGCTCAGCACCTCCCTCTCCACTTCCCCTCAGGAAGGTATAGAGGGCAATGAGGTTGCCCCTCAGCCTCCTTTTCTCCAAACTCGACAAACCCAGTGTCCTCAGCCTCTCCTCATAGGACATGCCTTCCTGCTGTTTCACCAGCTTTGTTGCCCTCCTCTGGATGCATTCAAGGACCTTCAGATCCACCTTAAATTGTGGGGCCTAGAATTTCCCACAGTACTCAAGGTGAGGCCACACCAGCACTGAATACAGCAGGATAATCACCTCTTTTGGCCAGCTGGTTGTACAGTGTTTGATGCACCCCAGGATCTGAGTTGCCCTCTGGGCTGCCAGGGCGCAGTGCTGGCTCACACTGAGCTTAGTGACAAACCAGCACCCCCAGATCCCTTTCTGCAGGGCTGCTCTCCAGCCGCTCCTCTCCTAGTTTATACTTGTGCCCAGCATTACTCTGTCCCGACTGCAGAATTTGGTGTTTGTTCTTTTTACATGTCATGCCATTGATGATGATTGCCCAATGTTACAACCTATCTACGTGGCTCTGCAAGGCCTCCTGTCCCTCAAGAGTCAGCAGCACCTCCCAATTTGGTATCATCAGCAAACTTGATAATGGTGCATTCAACTCCTGCATCCAGATCATTGATAAATACATTGAACAGAACTGGCCCTAGAATTGAGCCCCATTTCTGTGACCAGTCGCCAGCCAGATGTAGCTCCATTCACTACAACCCTTTGAGTTCTGCCCTCAGCCTGTTATTCACCCAGTGCACCATGAACCCGCTCATCCTACAGTTGGACAACTTGTCTAGAAGGATGCTGTGAGGGACAGTATCAAAAGCCTCACTAAAATCCATATGAACAACCACTGCCTTTCCCTTCATCCACTAGGCAGGTGAGCTTATCATAGAAGGATATCAAACTAGTTAAACAAGACTTTCCCTTTGTGAACCCATGTTGACTGTGCCTGCTGATTGGATTATTCTTTAAATGTATTTCAATGGCACCCAATGTTATCTTCTCCAGAATTTTTCCAGGTATGGTCATTAGACTAGCAGGTCTGTCATTTCCTAGGTCCATGTAAGTGCCTATGTTAGGTTGCAATAAGATCCCATGAAAGCTGGTGACAGAGGACAACATGACCTTTTCCTCTCCTCCTTATTCTCTATCATGAAGTGTAATCTTAATTTAATCTTTACTTTTGCAACTCCATTTAACCATTGTCTTGCTATGACAGTTTTCAAGAAAAGCGTATCTCAAAAGTTTAAGTATTAATTACACAGGTATGATGTGCTTCAGTAAAGCTGCAAAGAAACACAAAAACCCCAATCTACACCCAATTAAAATTATACAAACTTCATTTCTACTTATAGAATTTCACCTAGAGTCCTAAAAGGAGAAAAACATCGTATTTCATGCATTTGAACATGCATCTTGATTTCTTTATTCTGATTAAATACCAGTTTAGAACATAGTTTATTTCTAGCAAGAGATTAATGTCAGTAATTACATAGTAATTAAACAGCTGAATGTATTCAACAGATACATCTCTGAAGAAAAGTGCTCTTTTTGTCAATTATTCAGTCAAGATATTGAATTATCCATCTAAATACTCTAAATCACGCGAGATGGAGATTTATAAGGCCTACATATTTCACCCAAGCAGTCCAATGTGTAACTATTTATACTTTCCAAATTTGGGGTCCTCATATAAATTCTATTTTAAAGGTTCCTATTTAGAATTTCCAAACAAGTAAGCATTGCCTTTTTCCACGTTCTGCAAAATTTGAGGGATACAGGAGCTCACGTTCATGCACTCAGCACCACTCAGTTCACTTGTAATTCAAGCACATCAGTTTCGTAACAACAGACACAAATGGGGAACAACTGTAAGTTGCAAATACAAAGTTAGAGTAAAACTAAAGGGATCCATATACAGTTTCACAAATTACATATACACTGATTAGGAAATAGTCCAAATGGATATTGAAGTTATGTACCTGTCCTGGTTTCAGCTAGGACATTTAACTTTCTTCAGAGTAGCTAGTAAGAGGCTATGCTTTGGATTTGTGCTGAGAAGAATGTGGATAACATACTGATGTTTTTAGTTGTTGACAAGCAATGTTTACATTTAACCAAGGACTTTTCAACTTCTTTGCTAGTGTGCAGGTGCACAAGAAGCATTTTGCTGTCTATGTTAGTTATTTATCTGTTGCATGGCAGGACTGCATGTAACCTTTTTGCTATACATAAATGCAACTTCTCAGTATTTGCTAGACACATACTTTACAATAAAGCTCCAAAGTTAATAAGAGTAAAGCTGTCAGCTTTAGAGAGTAAGTGAAGATAACTTAGTTTCCTTATTTTGGAAACATACCATATCTGTACAGAAAACTAAATATTTCGCATAGAATAAAGTACTGTCTTACCTTGGCATCTGATTTTGGCGGTGTTTCCATTCTTAGAAGCATTAGCTTGCTCTGACACTTGGTAGAAAAACAAACAAAACAAACAATGTTTACTTACTCTTCCCTTTCATAAGAAAGAAACATGATGCTTAGAAATTCCAACAAAAGTTGTTTAATCCAGGAAAAAAAAAGAGTTTTGGCTTGGCTTCTACCACATCCCTCAGAGCCTCACCCAGAACAGCAACTTCAGAAATATGTTGAAAACATACCACAGTAAAAAAGTAGAACTTCACTTAATTGAAAAGTAGAAAAGTAGGAGCTAAAAAAAGGTGTACAATTCGAGAAAAAAGACAAGTTATGAGGGAAAAGCTGATACGGGGAAAGACACTGAACAGATGAAGAACATGACAAACTGGGAAGAAAGAGTCATGGACAAGGCTGAATAGAGAAGCTGCTGAGAAGTTAACACACTTGTTGCTAACATCCAGGGTCTCCAAACAGAACAATCACATTCAAATACATATTTTTAGTTTAACTGATTTAGGGCAATATCACGGTACACTTCAAAAATGGTCTGATTTTTAGAATTGCAATACATCAGCTCCCATGACTGCCATGGGATGCATATCAAGTCTGAAATCCAGGCCATAAAAAGTATCCAAGGATTAAGCAGGAGAAATGGCCTAAACACTTTCTTGTTTTATAACTGTCAGCAATTTAACCCACCCCATGACAGAGCAGGATGTATTCTACTACGCAGTAAAACTACTTTGGAAACCTTGCTGTTAATGTTTTAGAATCAAAACACAATATAGGATTTCTCCAATAAAAACTGCTAATGCTGATACACAATCATTGAAACATTACATCATAAACCATATAATGTAGGAGCTAATTCAATGACTCTTTAAACTTTTAGCTGAAAGATACGTACATCGAGGATGCAACAATCAAAGTAATAAAAATCCTGCTGTTTTTATCAACTTCCCAAAATAACACACATTGCCATTTCCTGTAGTGTTTTGGGGATGATGGGAAAGAGATACAAGATATCAAAGATTTTCAATTAAATTCAAAATAACAAACATTCTGATATCCCTTCTACTTTGAAATTTTCAAAGAAAGTTCACATCCTCTGAAGTGGTGCCAAATGAAATTTCTGTTGGTAACTTACTACAGTATATCAGAAACCTAAATACAGGATTCCCTGCCACTCGTTCAATACTAATATGTTTAAATGTAACAACAAATAAAAATCACATTTATTTTTTTAAATCTAATTCTGTAAAGTTTTGCACTGTTGATTGTCTATAATTTGTTCAACTTTAAGTTTGGAAGTGCTTTTACTTCAGTTTCTGATACTTTTAATGCTTTGAATCTACAGAGTAGAACTCAAGCAAACAGCATATAAATAACAAAAAATTGAGTGAAGCAATTAAGACAGTCAAAATATAATGCAGAACATGAGTTTTCATCAGACTCAGAAGAATCTTCTAGGATGTACAGCATTTCCACAGACCTGCTATAAGTTTATCTTCCTGGGATTCCTATAAATAAAACCAAATCACTCTAAAATGTTATTATTAGCATATTGGACCATATATTGAGAGATATATATTTTGTTCTTGAGGATGTAACTGTCAGTTTGCAGGAGCATATGTTAACATAATCATTCTTCTAAGCCTCTTTCTCATCCCATTCCATCTGTCCTTTAGGATACAAAATACTTGCGAACAGTAGTTGAATCCCATCTTCCATGAGGTTGAAGAGAGAAGGATCTCAAGTCTCAGTGTGCTGGTACTACCAGAACACAAGCAAGTTGTTTAATTTTCCCTAGTTTTAACATATACTCCCATTCTATTTAACTACATTGTAACATCAGCACACTGTAAACAAAGTCTAATACTGCAAGGCATTCTTCACCCCTGCCACCACTTCTACCTTTGGCCCTTTTGAAGATCTTCCACTACCTCCACCCCCTGCTTTTTTTTTTTTCCTTGTGTTGTTGTGCTGATTTCTTTGGAGAGGGTGAGGCAAGCATGCAGTGAAAGATGGGGATATGAACAAAAAAATGCTGAGGAAAGTTTACAATGAAACTATTCTAACATTTGTGATTTGCATACCTCTTCCATCTGCTTCCAAATACTCTCACACTCATAGAAGAGTTTTTCCTTGTCATTTTCAGGACAAGCCAAGTCCTCAGTGATTTCTGGTAAGCATCGAAACTATTAAGAAGCAAATAGAATAGTTATCATGTAGACCTACAATAATTATTAACAGATTACTAAATCATACCTGCTACTTTAGGCAAAAATCCCTTTGAATCTAAAGCTTTCAGTTAGCTCTCCTATATTTCTAGACAGCACTCAATCATTCAGTATAACCCAGCTAACCATACTACTATAACAAAATTTGAAGGCCCTAGATTTTTTTTTTAAATTGAATCACAAAGCCCTAAATTTTTTAAACTGCTTTGATTATACACAATAGCTTTTTTTTATTTTCTGACAACTTCAATAAAGAAACAATGAGAGAATAGGTATACATCTACAAAGCCATGCTTTTCTTCCATATATCTGCAAAGCTCTTAAGCACAGTTACTGCTACTCTGTCTTCTAATAAGTGTCCCAATCTATTTCTCCTTATGATAATTTTTATTTGTTAATCAAAGACACTGAAGTCAAGTGTCCTGGAGGTTACAAGAAAAACAAACAACAAAAAAACTTGAAATATATGCAGGTGACCAAGTAAAGAGGGCACCAGACAGCCAAGACAAAAATCATCACAAGTTAAATTAAAAAGTTTGAGAAACTGCTGGATCAAGTAGAAACATACAAATTCAGAAATATAATCCTAGTTAATCTATAAAGAAATACATAAATGACAACAGCAATTAACAGGGGGAAAAAAAAGAAGGGCCAAAATGGCACTCAAAGGGATTTTTTTTTAAGCTAAAACAACCCAGAGCAATTTCCTAACTGTACAAGATGCAGGAAGCCTTTAAAAATACTTAAATGGATCACTAAGCCCACCAAATAGGTAGAGATTACAAGGAGACATTAAAAAAGATAAACATCTGAAGAAGAAAAACACATCTCTGCTTTCTTAATGATGCATAAATTCCTAAGTCAACACTTTGTTCCTTTTCAGAACAAAAATGAGGCATCAGAGAAAAATATGTTGAACAAATAAATAATTTAAAAGCAGTGAAATATTCAACTGCTCCTTCTGAAGCATGCCATAATAGAGTGGCTAAGAAATAATATCAGAATGCCTCAGTGAACACTGGAAGTATTGTAGAGAACTGAGTGGTAGTAATACTTCTACTAAACCTTCCTGGCAAATTTGCTGCATCAATAATTAAAAACAGAGCGCTAGAAAGTCTGGATTGCCATGATCTGATAAAGTCTAACAAGCACAGTTTTTGCAAAGGAAAATCATTATCTTCTTAAGAGTCTTGGAATGTCTCCATAACATAAAAGAGAACTAGTTCACATTATTTATTTAAGACTTCTGAAATGCCTCCAGCAAAGTCTCCCACAGAAGGCTAATAAAGAAACTAAGCAGTCCTGAGATGCAATGTACTTTTCTCAGACCAAGAAGTGTCTAGGACACAAACAAACAAACAAAAGAAGCCTGAGCACATTAATTTTCATCACGGCCAAAAGGCTCAGCATCAGAGCTAAGAAGGCCTGAATAGGAAAAAAACAAAGGGAAAAAAAATAAAAGATATAACCTTAGGAAATTTGAAAGGCGTCTCAGGGTGGAATAAGGAGTCCCATCTCCCTGTGTCCCCCTGCAATAATATGACCCATCAACATGAAAACATTATATGAAATAAATGTCTGAGTACGTAGCCCCCCCCCAAAAATTGAAATTATTATAGTGATTTTATTACTGTGAACCTTCAAAATTTCCATGATTGATTTTACACAAAGTTTGAAAAAATAGATATTATGAAGAGATATTACAGGCCTCTGTAGCACAAGCCAAACTGACCTGTGGTCCCTAGTACTGTGCTGTTAATTACCTTATAAGGTATACACATCAAAGTGTCACATTAAGATGTTTTTCCTTGTAGCTTGCAGTTTTCCTTATTTCTGTATGGTAAAGTTAGGTTTCTATTTGTACACCATATTTGAAAACTGAGGACTCTTTTTTTGAAGTCTCTAAAATTAATGCATTCCACTTTCAACATGTTATTCCTTCTCACCTCACCTTAAAGCTATATAATTAGGTAAAAAATACACGCAGGGACAAGCGTGCACTGTAGGCTCTATGGTGGCCAAGTAACTAGGCAAGCTTTATGGGAGATGTTTCATGTCAACAAATACAAAGCGACCAACTACTGAAAGAATTTCAGAGGCAAGAATGGTAAGCCCTGGGAAAAGTGATAGAGAAGAAAAAAAAGAAAACCGGGAGTTCACCTTAGCAAGAAAAAGAATACAAGCAGGATGCAAGTAACACGACAAGAGCTCCAGTTCTCCCGAACATAAACCCAAGAACTACGCCTGCGACTGAAAAACTCGGGCAAGGAGGCGACCCCTCGCAGGCTGGGGCTGAACGCGGCCTCTCCCCCGGCGGAGCAGCCAGGCGCGCGCACAGACCCCAGCCCACTCCCTTCCCAGTAGCCCCGCGGCCCC